AAAAAATGCAATTTGATATTGATTATTGTAATTTAATATTAATCTTAAAATCCGATAATATTATAATTAATATTATATTAATAATTCTATTTCAATTATATTATACATTATATATATATAATCATGGATATCCCACAAAATGAATATCAAATAACACGACGAAAATATATATCAACAAATATTCTAAAGGATATTTCCAAAACAAATGAACTAAAATATCATATTCCTTACAAAATATATATATTAGAATTCTAGAAATCAAAGGATTTAAAAATATCCTCCAAATAAATATAATATATAAATTATTTCCAAATAATCCTTATATTTTTTATATGTTGAAATCATCCTTATATTTTTATATAATTATTGTATTGATCTATCAATATCAAATTTTAATAAATTCAATCTTTTTTCAAATACATAAAATTCCAATTATTTTAATCGATTTCAAGATTATTAGAAATTCAATTTATAATTCATCTTATATATATAAGTTCATCCTCAATAGAATTAATCAAATATTTCAAATTAAATTCATAAATCCAATCTATAATACAATATCATCATACCAATCATTTAATCAATAAAAAATTAAACATATTTAAACGGCTAATTCGCATCATCAATGGGTAATTCGATCGCGTAAATTCGCAAATCTAGGGCCGTTTCTCACGAAAATATATTCATTTTAGTATCGTCTGCATTTTTCGCACATAAATATATTTTTTCGTCGTCGATTTTTCGAAATAAATATAGAAAATTATTTTATTTCGAAATGCAAGTTTGTATGCCAAATACAATATTTTCAATATATTAATAATCGTCGAAAAATTTAAATTTTCGTAATAAAATAAATAATCTATTTTAAAAGAATTTCGAAACAAAAATATTATTTCGTTATACATCAAATTCCAAATAGATTTTATTTAACAAAAAAATCGATAAATTATTTTCATAATTATTTAATCAAATTCGAAATCCAATTTTTATAACAAAGATATCATTTCATAAATTCTATATCAAACATAATATTCCAAAAATATCGAAATACAAATTTAATAACAAACCCACCATATAATAAATATCGAAATACAAATTACAACATAGACTTCGTAACCATCGTATTATTATATATTATCCTTTTACTTTCTCATTTTCATTCAAATTCCCATGTTCACTCTCACTCGCACTCATTCACCCACTCGCACTCCCACTCACTCCGTCTCATTCACATGCATTCTCATCCACACTCACTCACACTCACTCTCGCTCACACTCGCACTCCCTCACACACCCACTCTCACTCACACTCCTCACACTCGCGCCCACTCACTCTCCCACTCGCAGACCCTCACTCGCTCTCACTCACACCTTGCACTCTCACTCACACTCGCACTCACCCACTCTCACCCCCACTCACTCGCACCCACCTTCACTCTCACTCACACTCACTCACACTCACTCTCATTCACTCACTCTCCCTCTCACTCTCACTCTCTCTCTCACTCTCAGTCTCACTCTCACTGACACTCGCACTTACTCACACTCACTCTCTCACTGTCACACTCACCCACACTCACTCGCACACCTTCAGTCTCACTCACTCTCACCTCACCCACACTCACTAACACCCCCCTTCACTCTCACTCACGCTCACTTACACTCAAACACTAACACCCACCTTCACTCTCACTCATGCTCACTTACACTCAAACTCGAACTCACACTCACTCTCCACTCTCACTCACTCTCCCACTCTCACTCACCCACACTCACTAACACCCACCTTCACTCTCACTCACACTCACACTCACTCGCACTCACACTCACACTCACTCTCACACCCACCTTCACTCTCACCCACACTCACTCTCACTCACACTCGCACTCACACTCACTCTCCCACACTCACTCACACTCACACTCCCTCTCACCCACACTCACTCACACCCATTCACTTCATCACCACCATCACCTCTCTGGACCCCAATGCGTCTAGATCTCTAGACTTTCTGCTTACAGACCTCACACACACACTGCTTGGGGTCTCTTGCCGGGATATATATATATATATTTATTTTTTTAAAAGACATATATACATATATATATAGCAACATTATCGAATCAATATAATATTACCATATATATATATTCTATTCAATATTGAATCCATCTATTTCGAATTAGTTTTTTACAATATTCAATTCAATTTCAATATGCAAACTAACTATATCTAAATAATATATCTAAAATATGTTATTTATACTGGTTACTGATGAGATAGGATTTTACGGACCGTGTTTTGGAATACACCAGGACACATGAGATAGGACTAGGTCGTCATCAAGAATCCTGGGACACATGAGATGGAAAAGGGTGTGTTCGCTGACCCCTGCTTTTTCGGCCTATCTCATGTGTCCGCATTGTAAGCCTTTGAAACTCCAAAACCGCAGTCAATCCTGTTTGAAACTCCAATGCTTTCAAGCGTTTTGTCAGCTGACTATGCTGCAGGATGTCATGCAACCACCTCATTCAGATCCTGTCTCATGTGGCTAGGCAACCTCCAGCGGGCTTAATATAAAGATCCCAGTGAACGCTCCAATGTAAATTTGTTTTGGGGCCCACAAGTGGCCCCAGACCACATGAGATAGGAAAGCGTATGGCCACTTTTTTGCTATGTTTTGGGCACATGAGATGTGTCAACCTCAACCGGTGCATACGTTTCACTACTCCCATCTCATTAGCATCTAGTATAAATATATCATCATTCTTAAGATTCATATTAATTTTGTCTTATAAATGATTGATTTATAATATGTTTGTATTTTTGAAATCGGAATCAATATTAATTTAGTATAAATGATTGATCCAAGACCTGATTGGATGTATATACAAAACAAATATCGTATGTTTGTTTGTAAAAACCAACATTCAATATATTTCTGAGAAGCCCGCCGAACAAGGATGCCAAAAGAATGATCCACGTCATTGGCATGGTGTCACCAGTCTTCCTTTTGAGCTGAAAGTGTCTTTTTGAGATAGGCCTCACGCGCACGTTCAGAAAAAAAACACTCACACAGAACGCGCAAACCTCAGTGCATGCCAAACAAGACATGCATCTATAGGTGCATGTCGATGTGCACATGCTCCCTGTTTTGATGTTATTCTTTGAGGATTTAGAAACCATCCCAGCCTTCCACCAGGCGCCTCCTCGATGTCGCCTGCTTCCACCTTTGGCGCCTGCAAGGCCAGCTGCCCACAAGCTGCAATCTGCGCCTGCCAAACGTGTCGAAAGTCCGACTGCACGACACAAATGCAACAAGCAGGTGCAGGTCCTCTGGCACACTCAATTCATATCTCATCGAACCTGCCCTGGGACGGTGCTCCAGCGAACTGTGCAAAGCACTGGTGCGCCAGCCTCAAGAGGAATCATTAATTGCGTGTTTTTGTTCCAGTAGGTAGATATCACTTTGATGATTACATCGGTGGCAAAGCAGCAGGGCAGTAGTGTCAGGTCCACCAATCACCAAACCCAATTGTCCAATTCAAAGAAAAGGCCTGGCCATCTGCACCTCAAGGCTGGTGCATCCAAAACACAAAATCTCATTGTCATAAATCTACGATGCTTGCCGCTCAACTAATATACCCTGTATCTGATGCTTAACGAGACAATTCTCGACATGTTTCAGAAACACACACATGACAAACAACATGTCTCTCGCAACGGGTCACGGACATAAGATGCCGCAAGTCAAATCTCTCGCAACGGGTCACGGACATAAGATGCCGCAAGTCAAAAGACTAAGAATTGCGCCTGCGTTGCCCGGCGCATCCCAGCGGCGTCTATACTCTGCAACGATGAACTTGAACTTGCGGCACTCAGCCTTTCTTGTGGAGTCCAGTTTCCCAAGTTTTCCGTAGGAACTGGTGGCTGGACCGTCCAATCAGAAATCACCAGGATGATGCAATGCTCTGTCTATGGACCAAGAAGCATCTGTTGGAGGCCGGTAACCATTCACCTCTCCACTCACCTTGGCACTTGGCCACATCAAGAAAGCTCCAGGGCCTTCTTTTTGTCATCTCAAATCTCCGTGTATCTATGGAATATGTTTTTTCAAAGCGTGGAATAGAATTGAAGGGACAATTACGAAGGAAGCAGGCAACACATGTACGGCAGCATTTATTTCGTTTAGACATGTTTAGACTACTTAAGTAGGAGGTCATGGTCATGTCACTGTACCTCGTTCAGACTACTTTAGTAGCAGATCGCACTACCTCGTTCAGACTACTTCAGTGTCATCAAACAACAGTATCTCGTTTATGTGGGGGGCCTATCTCGTTTACAAGCGAATACTGGCGATAGACAAACAAACAGATAGAGCATGCTGTAGACTACCTTAGTAAAGCCTAAATAAAAGTGGTTGCTCACATCAGATTGCATAATTCACGGTTGCTTCCAACATCTCTCAACCATAAGCAAACCTACCACCCAAGGTGACCAAAAACATCACAATTTGTGACCATCTGTGACCCAAATACAGACAGTACAATTAGTGGAACAGCTTGAGAAACTGCGCTCGGCAGCACCATGAAATGCCCGTAGATGCTAAGCGGCTGTGGGATTGTAGGGAATCACATTGAGCATGACCAGTGCTCGGCAATTGGCCAACAACTCACCCAGTTGGTGCGCACAGGACTCAGAGGAGTTCACATCTGCAATGAGGATGTACTCCATCATGACCTCTACCGAAACCGTGCGACTTGGTGTAAAGTGTTTAAATTGGGCGCGGTCAAGCTATGAAGCTCCTTCTAGCTCTCAAGAAATAGCCCCAATGCTGCGAGACGTGCTCAACGACTCCCAAAAAAATCTAGGAGGCGCAAGCGCTTCTTCAAGCAAGCTCCCCCCACCATTAGGGCGGCGGTGGAGTTTCCTGCAAGAAACGTGAGCTATCTTGCGCCCAGTAGTTAGTTTCTGCTTTGTAGGTAGTAGCTACCTAGCTACTAGCTACCTACCCCTAGCTACTTCCTACCTCTACTAGCGGCCTACCCCCCAGTCTAACACAACATACTTTACTTCGAGCGATTCTCACCATGACATGTCAATCATTTGTTTTCATGCCATGGTGAGGAGCACGTTGCCGTGGACGTGAGTTTTGTGGTTTTCGATCTGGTTTGTGGGTCCTCGGGTTTGGGATAACTATTTTAGTGTTAGGGAGGTCGCCTTCAGTTGGCACGCACAAGTGCTACCCTGTGACGACCTGCCACACAAAACACCCCACACACCGGTAATATCACTACCCTTTCCTGAGGGGGACGTCGCAAATTGTAAGTTACATTTCCTATGCGGAGGGCCTCAAAAAATGTAATTACATTATATAACTTTGAGGTGGCCTCAAAAAAAACTTACAATTTTGAAGCCTCATGGGTGATTTCCTGGGAAATGATCTCAAAAATGTAAGTCACTTTTGTGAGGCACGGTGGGGCGCTTACATGTTTTGAGCCCCCCTGAGTCTGTGTTTGTCTGATTTTGTCTTGCTGTCTCAGGATGCAAGCAAAACGTGAGATTTGCACACCTCAAAAATTCTACGAGTAACTTACAATTAGTCCACGCATCCAGGAAGCGGGGTCACTTCAGAACACAAGTTTTTAGTTCACTTTGGAACAAAGGGTTTTAGTTCGCTTTGGAATACAAAACATGGGTCACTTTGGAAAACAAAACACACAAAAACATGGAAGGGTTAGCAAAAAACCAGATCACTTTGGAACACAGCGCACCTGATTTTTTGGTTCAACTTTAGAACACACACACAGACACAGATGGGGAGGGTTTAAGGATGAAGGATGGGGTGGGGTGGGGGGGGGGGGGTGGGGTGGGTTGCAGTTAGCAACCAGACAGTGCAGACTAGTCGTAGCGATGGCCTCCAACTTACTAGCTCTGACACGCGTTCCGAAGCGATACCGTTCCCGCGTTCCGAAGCGAACTTTTTTCTGCGTTCCGAAGCGACTCCCTCGCCCGCATCCAAGCCCTCAGATTTTGCAGGGATTACCTGGGTTCTGTGAGAACACCAGAATTTACAAGGAACCCGGGTGTCCCCCTGAGTTAAAAGAATGCAATTTAACATACTGAAAATCACACGCAAGCGACTCCACGAAGCGCAAGCAGGGGGCAAGCAACCAGGGGATCAAACAGCATTGAATATCCTTGTTCTCCTGCGCCATAGAACAGGCAGCTGTGCGAGCTTAGAATGACCCGCTCCTTTGTTGTGAAGCATGTAGATGATCCTCTGTTATGTTTGGGTTTCGCATTGTTGCCTTCCTTTTGGGGTCTTGAGTGGGAACATGTATGTTCCTGTTTCTTGGCAGTTTGCCCTGGGTGTGCTTCCTGTTCTTCTTTGTCGATGATGACTCAGACCAACTGCTGTTCCCTCATCTTTTGCTTTCTAGCAAGGGACAAGCAGCCAGGGCAACAACATAGCAGTGAATATATGTGATTATGCTCTGCTATGTGTGGGTTTTGTTGTGGCATCCTTCCTTTTGGGTCTTGCTTTGTGCGTGTTGCTGTTCTCCTTCATGCCCCACCCAGCCCGTCGTTCTGCCGACGCACCCTAGGTGTTCAGGATGGCAGGTTGCAAGTTCGATCTGCCGCGCACCCTAGGGGGTGGTCAAATGTAAGTAAGCATGTGCCAGGCCACAAGTTGCATTTTTTGGGCCCCCCCCCAACCTTTACCCGTTTCGATGGTGCCTGGGGGGGTAAGTTACACTTTTAGACCCCCTACAGGCCCACCAAAAAATGTAACTTGTTTTTTTGAGGCCCGGGGGGTAGGGATCAAATAACTATATATGTTGAAGTAGTTATGTGTTTGTGGCTGTGTCTTTGTGATTATGTTTGAGTGTTGTGGTTGTGTGCTGTGGTTGGTTGTGTGCCGTGCTTGTGATTGTGGTTGTGTGTTATTGGTTGTGGCTGTGTGTTTGTGGTTGTGTTTGTGGTTGTGTTCGCGGCTGTGTTTGTGGCTGTGTGTTTGTGATTGTGCGTTTGTGATTGTGTTTGCGGCTTGTGTTTGTGATTGTGTTTGTGGCTGTGTGTTTGTGACGCGTGTTTGTGGTTGCGTTTGTAGTTGTGTTTGTGATTATGTTGTGTGTTGATGCCCAGTGCGATCTGGCACTTGCTGTTGAGGTCCGGTAGTGCCCACTATGATCAGGAGTTGGCAGTTGAGGTGGCGAGGAGGAGGACGAGGAGGATGCGGAGGTGGAGGAGGAAAAGAGCTCTGATAAAATCTAACAACCCTCACCTGGCAGCAGGGAAAACACATAACAGAACAAAATCCGTACCTTGCTCCCTGTGAGCTCTCCGTAATCGTCCACTTCACGCATGAGCTCCGTCAATGGAAGTCCCTTTGCAGAAGGCACCAAAGGTCTGCGGAGCTCCTGGTGACAGCCAAAACCACCAATCCAAACAAGCCACACCCGAAGCACAACGAACCAACTCTGAGCTCCGAGTGTGTGTGCTCGATCTGGTTTTAAATGTCTTAAGATGTTTACAATGTCACGGATCTTGCTCGTTCCTGCGTGGGGGCGTGCAATGAAAGTGCCAAATTGGGCCCTGCAAAGGGAAATTCGCTTCCCAAAGCTCGGATGCGGCCCATGACGCCCACGGTAGAGATGGTCACATTCCTGCCATGCAGGAACTTTATTAAAATGAGAAAGGGCACTGCAACATGGTCAAACATTGATCCTCATAGTCATAGTCATAAAATATGCTCTTCAATATCCAATGTCAAGGCGCTTCAAAGCCAATCCGAAGGCATGCTCAGGCATCACCTGAAGAGCCAAATTTAATATTGACTCAAACCTAAAGGCAGCTGGCGGCTTACAACTGGCATTTTCGATGGGTCAAGTCGCACAGAAGAAGCACCACGCGCCCGCTGTCATCAAAATTATTGTGCTGATGATTCGATGCACTTTCAAACAAATCCATGGCACCCTTGTCTTTTTGGCTTCTACATCGTCGAATCCCTTCCGCCAAAATGTTCCCAAGCACACTGTTACTAGCGGAACCCAAAGCGCAGCCGTGCGCGCAGCCGTGCGCAGCTTGTGTATCTTTCACAACAAAAGCATGACGTGGATGAGGCGCCACCGTCAGGGCTGTGAGCCCAATGCTAGATCTGAAAGGAATTGAAGTGTATTTGTTAAAAAAAAAACACTTAAAACAGTCATTTAGACTTGCTGATTCTGATGCAAGCAACTCAAACACCAACAGCATGTGAAATGCCAAAACACATGCAATGACAGCATAAACGGTCCACCGTCAGTCATAGGAATATATGAGGATATGGAAGGACGGAAGGTGGAAGGAAAGGAAAAGTACACATGTTTGCTAGTTACTTTCCTTAGGCAATGGGCAGCTCGGGCGATCTGCTTTCCAAACAAACAGAACATGCCAATCTGCAACTCAAAGCAAGGCCTTCACAGCTGCAATCACGTTCTCGTAGTTGTCCAAAGGCTCACCCATACCCATGAAGACCACCTCAGACCAACCCAGAACCTACAACTGGTCAACCCTCCTTTGTCCAAAGGAAACAACCATTTAACAGCTTCCTGATCATTGAACACAGATTCGTGTTCCCCTCTTTGCCGGCCCTTGGACTGTGACAAAGCAACACCATGTTTAAAGCATGCTCCTAGTTAAGTAGGCGCCTACTTAATTAAGTAAGGAGGTAAGCTACCAGGCTAAGTTACCTTCTAGGTAGGATGCAGGATAGCTCACGCTTCTTCAACTTGAAGAAGCGCTCGCACGATGTTCAGGGAAACTTAAACTGTCATACATTGTCATATCGAACTAGTAAACGACTATGAACAATGAACTCGACATTTCTCAACTGCGACATACATACTGGAATATAATTTGAGATCTTCAGCTCCTGTCAAAGCTTCCGACATTTCGCACAGGTGCTTCGCTGCCTCAGCTGGACTCTGGTGGTAACACCAAATGGTATTGACACCTCAAAAGCTAGTTGTATTTTCCTGACATGTATGCAGGTCGGTATTCTTTCTTTTTCTCTCTGGCTACCCTGGACTACAAACGGTATGCTTGATGAAGTGACAAATTTGAGGGAAATCATTCCGTTTTGTGGCCAGAAGCCCAAGCCACCATTGAAACTGATAGGATCTTGGAATGAAGTACTGTAACTTTCGAAGTGTACTGGAATTTGATGGGATAGGTGCATGGGGTAGCTCCTGAGATGGACACTCGACTAAAATCCCTGAGAAGAGAACTATTGCGCAGCCCGGCCAAACCGAACTACCATTTTGTCACGGCCACGTTCTTAAGCCAACATTGACAGGGAGATCTTGCGCCGCTTCCAATATTATGTTGTCCATCTGTTTACTGTACGCTCTTGATTCTGTTGACCTTGCCCAAAAGCGTGGCTAGCAGGGCCCCGTCTTCAAACTCCGCCTGCAGCCGAGGATCGAGCAAAGCGCTTTGCATGGAACAGCTGTTCCAGAATCTCCCCGGCACTGAGTTGACCGCGTAGGCCCATGGTGCCTGGATCACCGTTGGTCAACGAGGACAACACTTAGAACATCCGAGCAACTCAAGACTGAAACGTAGTAGATTGATTATGATTATAGTATTTGGCAAAGTTGTTCAATGGATCGACCAGCTATCAGCCCATCCAATGGATGTGCACTCGCTATTTAAACATAGCATTCAACATTTTCGGATCCACGGACGCTCCTGTAGCACAAAAGCTGCATCCCATCTTGCAGCCAATTTGACTGGAAACACAAACCTTGGTTGCTCGAGTGAACATTTCTTGAGCAATATACTGTATACTATACATATACATATCCCGCTCCGTTCCGAACCTATTTATATCTATATATATCTATTTATTATTGCTTCTCTGCTTTAAGTTTGGAATGTTCTCGTTTGTCTTTCACTTTGTTCTCTGCACGCAGGCTTTCATGGTCTGCATGGCAACTGGAGAGACACGTGTTGCTGAAACAAGAGCTGGATGTCTGATGTCAGTGCCCCCCTGAAATTCGAGCCACTGTGGATCTGGGCTTCGGTCCAGCGTGCTCAATAAGCACTGTCCTGGAAGCAAGTGCAAGATCGTCCAGCGGACTCTCCTTGATGAAAACTAGGTCATACACCTTTTGCCCTACCAAAAAGCACTTGCGAACTGTCAAAAGGCAGTCATTTTGCTTCACCTGTCTGTTTAGTATGGGAACCACCAAATCAATAGACTTCATCTGCTTCGAATCGCACAGCAGTAGCATTTCTTTCATTTTCTTATGAGACAAACCAACCCAGACTAATATTCCAAAAAGCCATGAAGATATATATATATATATTTATACACACATTATGATGGCAACCCCTTTTGGCCGGCTTGCAAGGATTCATGGGTGTTGCAATTGAGATGCTGCCACGGAGCTCAATACGTTGCCCATCCTGTCAAATCTCTCACTTGAGAATGGCCAAGGGCGGAAGCGAGGAAAAAGAGAGGAGAACACATGGCATGGCAGTTAGGGGGGTGGAAGATGAGCTAAAGTGGGAGGAACATGGAAGAGGTTAGAATGGGAGGCTTTGTGACAGCCCTCAAACACTCGGCTTTGGAGTCCAAAGCAGCTGTACCTTGAAGCAACCTTTGACCTTTGACGTTGTCTTGAAATCCTGGTGGAAGCCTTGGTCGGTAACTGGTCAAACCACGACGATACGCTCGGCCTTCATAGGCGACCAAATGCGTCTTGCGAACCCTGTTGAGGCATTCCTAATTCTAAGCGTTTTCAACGTTTGTCAGCTCATGAGGCCCCACTTCTTTTTGTCACGAGGCAGCAATGGGTTTCTTTATGCACCCTCAACAATGATCCCAATCTGAACCAACCCAAGCCGTCAAAGGCCCCGTTTGAAAAGACGCGCTGACGAGTCTAGAGATGGTGGAACACCTGTTTGAAGACTGTAAGAAAACGGTGGCAATAGCATGCTTGAGGCCACCTTCGTGCCACATTTTCAGATTGACAGCTTTTCCAGGGCCTGCACATGAGCAGCAAAGCTTTGAGAGCTTCCTGCTTCCCCCAGCTCACGAACAGCTGTACGTCGTCTTCGTGACTTTGGGCTTTGCACCGATGCTCGGCTGCAAGTTTCCGATGCTCGGCCGCAAGGTGTAGGATTATACAAGGTTCGCTAGTAGAAACAAGTGCCACGCTAGTAGTAACAGGTGCCTTACTAGTAGTAACAAGAAGCTATTTGTAGGATTATCAAGATAGTAGCTTCTTGCTACTAGGAGCGATGCCCTTTGCTCCTAGTAGCGTTCTTGCTCCTAGTAGTACGGCCAGGAGCCCCTAGTAGCTTCTTGTTACTAGTCTGTAATGCCCTTATAGATCAAGATAGGATTATCTGCAGGCATATAGGCTGCCGGCTCGATGGTCTTCCCCTTCGTCTTTGACGTGAGACTTTCAATGAGATACAGTAAGCCTATGAGTTTGCTTGCCTTAAGCTGGCTAGCCATTGGCAACATTTGCCAACTAGGTCGATTGGATCCCAGGTCGGAGGCGGACGCACGCCGTCTGTGGATTTTTTTCGCATCAAGATGTGCGGTTGCGGCGGTTGAGTGACGTGCAGACTATAAATATTGGGAACAAAGAAGTGGCATGAAGACAGTCCTTCTTGCCACCGAAGATTGTCGGCAAGTGGTGCAGAAGCGGGCAAAAAAAGACAAAAGTATTCTGGCAGCCTTCTTCTCCGAAGAGATTTGCGCAGCCACCCTGGTGTCTGACCGGAAGCCCCACTGGACCTCATGTCCGTCCGTTGTTTGCCGCAGACGGTGCAACCTGCTGGGACTACTCATTGCTTGAGGTCAAAACCCCGGTCAGAATGAACCACATGTCCATTGTTTGTCTGTTGCACAAGTGTGCCTCAACTGGACATGAACCTTTGCAACCTTCCTATCATAGGCCGTGTGTGGGTAATGTTAATTAATGTTCAGTATGGAGGACGCGGGCAGTCTGTACGACTGCCTCAGCTGGCTTTTTTGATGCAAATGATGCTTGAAACTAGGGCTTAGGGATGCCTAGGGCGCAACAAACCAATGATAGTGCCACGAACTTAACCCGATGCCTGCAGTTCCAGCAGCATCTTCCCTCCGCCCTGGTCGGCCGGGAAGAACTCGAGAACTTTGGATGAGCAGTGCGTGAAGCCAGTCTTCAACCTGGGCCACATCAGGCAGTCCCTATGAAAAGCCATGTTAAGCTCATTAAGTGACTGGCCCGACAAAAGAGCGTGTTCAACCTGTCTTTGAAGTGAAGTTTAGTAAGGAGGTGCTTACGCACACACTTGCGCCGTGCTTACGCGACTCACGTTTCAGCTTGGGCGCCATGCAGGGGACATGATGCGCTTACGCGGAGCTTAAGCAAACAGATACAGGCAAACTTCCTCCCCCACACCACAACATGACCTTACACACTTGACTGTTTATATCTTTTTACTTGGCGCCAACATCAAGTCATGTCATGTCTTGTCATGTCTTGTCATGTCATGCACACCTTCAAACTACTGTAGTTTGTGACGACAAAGTGCTGTGCACAATCTACAAAATACAAAGAAATACAAAGAAACTATCTACGAACATGGGGTGCCACATGAAAGAATCCTGCAAACAAAAAACATGTACAATAGGTTCCTCAAACAAACACGTCTCAACACATCTGATTGGTATTGATTGGCTTCCCAGTATCCCAATACTTGAAAATTGAAGCAAGCACACATGCAAATACATGGAGAAGTCAAGCTTACGCACTTTGCTTACTCAAGCGCTACAACCAAAAAATGCTTACGCAACCTTACCCAATTCAGGTTTTTGCTTACGCACAGTGTCCTTATGAACATCTCCTTACTATAAATATGAACACCTAGGTTTTGAACGATGCTCAAAAGAACATGATGCTGGATGCTGACTAGCTGACGCTGTGAAAGTTGTAGAGAAGAACGATATCGAAACAAACGTAAACAGGAAGTTAAATGCAAGGCCGTGCGGCCATGCACAATTGCAAGCAAAACATACACCTTGAGGCTTGGAGGGCTAGAAAAGCGATGGGGACAGTCGTTGAGTGGAGGCAAAAGCACACGCATCGCGACAAACTTTTGATTAATTACAGAAGAGAAGATCAGAAGCTACAAAGACGTTGAAGGGGCCTTAGCAAATTCAAAGGGGCACTGGGTACTTTCTTTTGCTCTTCTCTTGTCTCATTGGTTCTCATCTCCATCTGGAGACCTGGAGGGGTCCTGGGACGAGTGAGAATAAACGGAATCAAATATGCTAATCAGCCTACATATATAACTATATATAATTATGGCGTATTATTGCATACAACTTTGCTTAGAAGGCTTCACAATTTTTTGAGGAGCGGCTCCACCTGCCACCGTTAATTACCCTGTTCAATCAGAATTGTTTGTCTTTGTTTTTATGACTTCGATGTGATCAGTTGAATGAAACCAACAACCAAGCTCATCTGAAGCGCAGCTGCAACAAGGCTGAGGGCAACTGATCCTTCCTGAGATTCTCCCAGTCGCGATGCTCCGGCAGCGCTGCACCTGAAGAGGTTGAGAGTACGCGCGCCACATGGAATCACAGTCTTCCTTTGGTTCGTCAAACTTACACAGAAAGGCCTGCAAATGACAGGGTCTAGAACTTTAAAGCATCAGGCAGTTCATACAGTACTTGACAAACATCCCCTGATTAAAATCAACAATTCATACCGTAATTGATAAACATCCCCTCATTAAACTACACCAACTGAGCCATTGTTGCACAAAAGTTGGTGAGTTGGTGGGCAATAGTGGGCAATAGCAAGGCTCTTTACAACCAACATATTACCCCTTAGACAGGCAACTTCGAGCGAGCCTTCTTTCCTCCCATCCTATTGAACCGTTGCTTTTCCCCTTTTCCTTTTGTTTCTTCCTTTTGCTTCTTTCCTTCCATTGCGTTCTTATAAAACTGACTACAAAAAACAACTGCTGTTTGACGATCACAAAGATCACAAAGGGATACAAAGGGTATCCCTCATGAGGCTTGGTCCGCCCATGCTACTATGCACGCCTCCTCTAATTAAACCGAGCCTCCTGCCACGTCCTGTTGCCTTTCCTTTACTTTCCTTTCTGTTGGTTCATTGCCCCCAAAAAGGAATCCCTTCATGGATGCTTTTTCCCTTTCCAAGAGTCTGATGGACCTGTTGGACCTTCTATTCGAGGCTCTGAACCTGGTTTGCTGGTGTTGGTGGAGAGTTCAGTTTGCTGCTTGCACGGTGGGGACACGCCAAACATGGTAGATGCGAATGTCGCTTTGGCCACATAAGTGGCGGCCACATGTGGCAAACACAAGCAAACTCTTAGTCTCTCCTCCCTCATGTAACATCATGTAACCGTAACTGCCTTGAGGTCGTGCACCCAACATATGCTTGTTCTTATGCGCTTGGCCATGTATGTCCACTGTCTAGTGTCCAAGCAATTTCTGCCAAGTTGCCCTCCATGACATGCTGCCAAACCTGGGACGTGGACTTGGACAGTTGGCACGCCCTTGGTAAAGCCAACCCAGCTTTGGAATAGCCGGTTGGCAACTAACTCCTAATGATTGGTTTGCAAATGTTTGCAACTAGCAAATGTAATGAATGCATTTAAAGTAACCTTGTTGTGGGTGAACGAACTTGAAGCTGAGAATAGTTACTCCACTGGCTCTACCAAACAGCTGAACACCAGTGACGTCAACACCCTGTCTCTCACTACAAGTAGAAGTAACCTGAATGAATTCGACCAACACAGGCACAATGCTCCCGACTTTAGTTCTCGGTAGTTAGGAAACTTTCTCAGATCTCTTAGTCCGAATTCTTCTGATGAATCTTCCGAGGAAGTCTTATTGTGATCGATGTCCTTGGAACCATATCCTGCACACACACAAAGCCATCCGCCCCCATTGTCCGAACTTGTTTGAGCAGCAAGGGCATCGCCAGTCCTACATTTGCAGGATGGGAAAAATGCTCGTCGATTGCACTACAACGAAGGCCCACAGGGCAGTGAGACATCGGCATCCAGGAGTCACTCTGGCAAGTCACTCTCTTTCCAGCAGTCTGGATGAACCAATTGATGACATCATTTGCTGATTTGACAACTAGAGCTTGACCTCATATGTCAAAAAACGGAGAATCATGAAATCTATACTCTTGTTTCTTGATTACCCTATTTGTATTCTGACATGACACGCCTCTTTTGTTGGATCTGTCACTCCCAGTAGGAT